GCACTGGGTGTTATTCTGTATGTTGGTAAATTGAACACCAATAAAAAATAAATTTATTATAAAAAAAAAAGGAAATGGATTCTCTCCCCTAGCCTCCAGAAGTAAGGTAGTCCTGCTGGCACCTTGATTTTATCCTAATGAGACCCATTTCTGACTTCTGACTTGCAGAACTGAAAGTTTGTGGTAATTGTCACAGTAGCAATAGGAAACTAGTACAGTCATGTAAGGGATACTCTGCTGAGGAGCTTCTGCAAAAGCTTTTGCTTTTCTTTCCTTTTTTGCTTTTGTGTTTTCTTTTTTTCTTTTCTGATAAAAGGAAAAACATGGCTGGTCCTACCCTTCCTTCACTTTTCCTGCCTTGAAAACAGACACTAGAGCAGGAGCTGTAATATTAGGTCACAGCACGAGGATGAAAAGCCACATGTCAAGGATAATTGAGAGGAAAGAATGAACAAAGCTGGGAACTTCATTATGTTGTTGAGTGACTAAAGTAACCCTAGAACCGTGAATATCCAGACTCTTGTTCTATGAGACTATGAGTCCTGTGTGGCAAGCCTGTGAGTTGGGTCTTCTGTTATTAGTACGCCCATCAGAGTTCTTGAAGGGCAGGTGCAAAAGAACCCTAAAGGAAAAAACTGCCATTTCCTGAGCACCTACTAGATGCTAATCATTGTAGAAAGTAGGTTGCTTGCTTTCTCTCACTTATGTATGGTAAGGAGATCATGTGGCTTTACTGGGAAAGGAGACAAGGGGGCAGAAGATATCAACCCTACAGAGCCCATCTGCAGCCCCAGGCTTAAGGAAAAGTGAATCTGGCTCCAGCTTTTAGCCTCACCCCCTCAGAAAGCCTACTCCCTCTATTTGGAGTCTGGAAAGGAAGTGGGGCTTCCAGCAACTCTCCCACCTGAGGAGGCAGGTGGACTTCCCTGGGCAAGTGCTGAAATGTGGCTTTCTGCCACCTGACCACAGCTTGAGGCTGTGGACTGAGTTCTGCGGGACCTCTTGACACCCCCCATCTCCTTAAAATTTAGTAACATATCTATTTCTATTAGAGAAATAGAAATAGAACTAATATCTCTCAGCTTTGCCAAACACTGGAAGGCAGGAAAGCAAAGAGGGAGGGAGGGAAGGAGGGCAAGTTCTTGTTCTCTCCAGGCTGGGTAGGGAGCTGGGGTTTGGGATAGGGCTGGGGTGACTTAGAGCTGCAGCTCCCAAGGCTGCCTCTGCAGTCACCACCCTGTCACGTGGGCAGATGCCAAGGGGAGCCCATTCATACCTGTGTCCTTGGAGGGGCAGGCAGCTGCATGCGGGGAGACTGCTCGGCACTAAGGCTGGCCAGCAACACCCTGGACACTAGCAAACCAATCATTCTCCCTTGAGCCACTGACCACTGTGGGTCATAGCTGGCTCCAAAGTCAGTAAATAGGTCCCCAGCGGCCCTTCCTGCAAAGTGGAATGCGAGCAGGAGAGGACTTGGACAACACACAGGAAGGCCATTTATTTAATTCTGTGATACTGTGATTGACAATAAGAACATTATATTTGGTCTATGTCTCCATTTCTGGCAGAGCTTCTAGCCCTTGGAATTTCCTGTAATGAGAGTGATACAGATTTCTCTTGTTATGCTAATGAGGTGACTTTTGGACTGCACCCAGGGATGGGGGCTGGTTGCGTGGAGAACCAACTTCTGGGATTGAAAGGTTGGAATTTTCAGTGCTACCCCCTGGACCTGGGGAGGGGTGGTGGAGAGGGGCCAGAGGCCAACTCAATCGCCAGTAGCCAATGATTTAATCAATCGTGCCTCAATGGTGAAGCCTCCACAAAATCCCAAAAGAATGGGCGTTGGTGAACACGTGGAGATTTGGGGTGTTACGCCCCGGACAGCATGGAAGCCCCATGCATGCATCTCCTCTGTCTGGCTATTCCTGAGTTATGTCTGTTTATAAACCTGCAATCTAGTAGGTAAAATGTTTCTCGGAGTTTTGTGAGCCACTCTAGCAGAGTAATCAAACCCAGGAGGGGCACTTGGGAACTCTCAGTTTACAGGTGGTTGGTCAGAAACACGGGCTGGACCTGCACTGGTGTTTGTAGAAGTGGTGGGCAGTCTTGTAGGCTGAACCCTTCACCTGTGGGATCCTCCACTGTCCCTGGGTAGATGGTGTCAGAATTTATTGAGTTGTAGGACACCAGCTGGTATGGGAGTCTTGCTTAGGTGTTTGGGGAAAACCCTTCACACATGTGTGCACACACACATTGGAAATCAGTGGCCAGAATTATTGGCTGGTGATCAGAAGTAGGATCAGAGTCTCAACACTTGAAGCATTCTTGCTGAGTGCCTACTGTGTGCCAGGTGTGGGGATTGCAGAGATGAATGAAGGATGTCCTGCTCTTGAGGAACACACAGTCTCATGGAGAACCCATGGATGAGTGTGATTCCGGCCAGGAGGATGTTGCAAAGTGCTGTGAGGGAGGCACCAATGAATTTCCGAGAACAGAAAGGATCATAAAATCTCTTCAGCTGCAGGGCTCTGAAGGGTTTCCTGGAGGAGACCCCAGAAAGACATTCCAGGTGGAAGGGGTTGGAATAAGGTGAGGAAACATGAGAACTGTGGGAACAGAAAGCCTGCCCAGGGTGGTAGCTGGTTGTTGGAGCTGGGTGAGTCTCGAATGCTGTGTGACAGCAATGGCAGGTCACCAACAGGGAAGTTTAACCTGGCTGGGGGTACTGAGGATGGAAGGAGACTCGAGATCCATTCAGTGAGGTAGGAGCGCCTCACAATCTGGGCAGGTGAGAGTGGTGCAAACATTAGTGGTGCAAGGTGGCAGAGCAGAGGATGGGCTTGGGTGCCGGCCCTAATGCACCCGCCTTGCCCCACCACACATTCTCTGGTCCCAAATACACCCAGAAGAGCTCATCTTGCTCCCTAGGAGAGTGTGTGCCTATGTTCATCACCAAGCAGCACTTTCTTTGATAAAGCAAACAAGTTTAAAGTTTTTGAAATGTAAAAGTTAAAGCCTCATGTAATAGAAAAGAAAGGATCCTGTCATTAAAAGATACTTAACTTTAAAAAGTCTAGAATGATCTTCACTAGGATTGGGCACTGAATGCAGGGTGGGAGCCTGGGGTCTTGTTCCCTTGCCTGCTTCAAGCCCCAGGGTAAGCTGGGCTCCCTCTTCAGACAGGCGCCCTGGGCTGGAGAGCTGCCCTTGTGCCTTGCCCAAGGTGGGGGTGGCCTCAGCTCTGACACCATCCCCTCCCCGGGGGGCCACTGGGGAACACAAGGCTCTGATGAGGCGAGCAGTGCTCTAGGGACCCAGAGCTGCTCCGGTTTAGTGTAGGGTCCCTCTGAGACGTCTCCAGCATGTGATGGTCAGGGCTTTATGTCCTTGGAGAGCTCAGCTGAGCCTTTGCAAGTGTGTCTGGTGGAGCCAACCATTTCAGCGCAGCCCTAAATAATCTCTAGGGTCCTGTCAGGCTCTCCTTCTAGGTGGAGGATGTAAGAATATAGTTTGTAGACTTTTGACAAGTCTCCTTTTCCAAGAGGACCCCTATGTCCCATCGTCTAATTCCTTCCAGGCTTTGCCTGGCTTCTATTCGACCTGTGCCGGGGATTCTCGATTATCCATTAAGGATAGAAGCTCAGCTGGTTGAGAGGGCCAGCTCTCTCGTATCTGAGTGTGGGAAAGAGCCACAGCGGGGCTCTCCCAGCATCCATTTCGCATCAGCTGGCACTTGGTCTACCAACATCCACCCTGGTCCATGCCCTGGATAACAGATCCCTAATCAGCAGCCAAGGTGGGTTTAAAAAACCAGATAGTTTAAGATAGTTCAAGGAACTATCTGTGGGTAGTCGGAGACCAAATGGACACAGAGCCCAAACGCCAATAGAGGGAACAAGGACATGGAAAACACAGCCCCAGCCTTTAGGGTGGTGGCAGGGCAGCAGCCTGATAAACTTAAGACTACTTCCTCTTCACAAAGGCTAGAATTTACACCAGCCTTAGATGCTGGGCCCTCTCTGCCCAAAAATAACTTTCAGAAATTTCACCATTAGATATTTTTACTCCTTGTCTTGAGGCTTTCAGAAAACCGGAAGTTGTTGTTTAATGGGTACAGAGTTTTAGCTGGGAAAGGTGAAAATGTTCTGCAGATGGATGGTGGTGATAGTTGCACAACAATGTGAATGCACTTAATGTTGCTGAATTGTACACTTAAAGTTGGTCAAAATGGTAAATTTTATGTTATGTATAATTTACCATAATTTTTAAAAAATACACACACACACAAAAAAAATAGGTGTAGAAGGCCTTAGCTATCATCTAGCCCACTTGGGACCAGATGGTAGAGTGACTTACCACAGTTGCATGGCTAGAACCCAGGTTTCCCTGGGACAATCTGCTGGGGTCTCCCACTCATGGGCATTCTTTCCAGACAAGCTCTTGTTTACAGCCAAGGTGCATCTAAATTGGCTCTTACTGCTCAGGTGGCCTGTCACCCTTGCACCTCTCCTCCAGTCCCCCAGCTGCCCAGAGTGAACATTCCAGATGAGGCCCCCGAGGAAGCCCTTGTACCTCTCCTCCAGTCCCCCAGCTGCCCAGGGTGAACATTCCAGATGAGGCCCCTGAGGAAGCCTCTCACCACTTCTACAAGCACCTCCCTTCTCCAGGGTCTAACATGTTCAAAGGAAGGTTTTGGAAAGCAGAGCTAGGAAAGAGAATCCATGTGTCCTCCCTTCCACTCCTATCACATTCTGGTGAGACTCCCTCACTCAAGGTCTGACCCTTCCATGGGTCAAGCTCATGTCCAAATCAAGGTCCAGTGCTCCTTTGGAATCACAGGAGCATGAGGGTCCCCTGCTAGATCACCACCCCACACTCCCACTTCTGTTCACCCACTCCCCCTTCCTTTTACCCCTTGCTCCCATTTCTGTAGAACTGAAGAGCAATGAGGGCAAATCTCACACAGCAATGATGATCCACAGAAGCCAGACATAGAGAAGTAATGCCATGTGATTCCATTTGTGTAAAGTTCAAAGCCAGGCAGGGCTCACCCATGCTGTTAGAAGTCAGGGCCTCAGGCGCTCTTGGGGTGTGGGCTGGAAAAGAATGAGGAAGGGGTTTTGTCTTGGGTGGTGATGGCATTCTCTTTCTCCATTTGAGTTACAGAAGTATGTTCATTTGGAGAAAATTCACAGACTGCACACATAGGATTTGTGGATGCACAAACTTTCCCTCCCCTCAGAGACATTTAATAGGATGGAGGCAGTGGGTTCAGAAGGCTACAAAGCTCCATGAACCCTTCATGGGTTCCTAAAGCAGCCAGCCGTTCTTCTTGGGTCCCTGGCTTGGGTATGCTTCATGGAGCTTAGGCCTGTATGGCTCTGGGAACCTGGAGCTGACCTTTTGGGGCCAGCGAGTTCATCAGCCAGTGGTCAGGGCCTCAGAAAGTCCTCTCCATCTCCTCCATCCTGTGAGATTGAGGCCCGAGCACAGTGTACTCAGCCTCAGGAGGTTTCCATCGAGGAACGAGTGAGTGTGACTTGCAGGAAGGTTTGCCCACCTGAAAACCTAAGGAATATCTCTGAAATGCTCCATATACTGCCTGCGGTCAGATCGAAAGTGAGGAGGGGTGCTCTAGGTCTGGGAAGGGGGCTCGGGGGTCCCATTCCGTGTGTCCAGGGCATATTCTTCAGTGCAAGGCCAGGTTCCTGTCACAGAGGTCCCCGTGGGGCCCTCTCTGAGGCCATGAGGTGGAGGCGGGGAGCCTGCTAACATCGCCATCAGCCACTCTCTCCAGAGTTGCCAGCACAGTCTCTGCAGCAGGAAAGCCTGGGGTTCTCTGGCCACAGTGGTACCTTGGAGGTGCCCTGAGATCTTCTGGCTGAATCTCCTCTCATTCATGGATGAAAAAACAGGCCCAGGGAGGAGAGTGACAGTCCCACATCACATAGCCAGCCGGCCACTGATTAGAGCCTGCATCTCTGGGGCCCAGGCCGGTGCCAGGTGGCTTCCTCTCAGCCCCAGGGCATGGCACCAACACTTCTTGCAGAACCTGGGGACTCGTCCAGAGATCCTGGCTGGGGCAGGGAAGATTGCTGAGGACCGCGGCTCGTGGGGAGACACAGGCTCCCTGTAAAGCAGCTGGGACTCCGCAGGTCTGCCCGCTGGCGGCCACTGTGAGCCCAGAGGAGGCAATCTTAATTTTTCAAAGGAGCCACATATTTGGAATTGCAGGTGAACTTTCCAAAGTGCTAAACAGCAGAAGCCGTACCAAGCAGCTTTTGCTGGTTTATGCTGAATAAGGAAGAACCCCAAACTCTCAGTGACCCCCAACAACACACACTGGTGCGTGGTCCATGTTCCACGTGGACTGCAGACCCGCGGCAGCCGGCTCCCTGCTCGGTTAGCGGAGCCTCTGTCCACGTGACTGCTTCACTCTGGGACCCAGGCTGTGGAGGCGGCCCGCACCTGGGAGATCGTCCTCCCAGCGAGGGAAAGGAGCGGGACCGAACCTCCTGCCTGAGACGATGAGCGTCTGTGACTTCTTCCCCCTGGACCGGCCAAAGTGAAGCACGAGGACAGGTCCAAGGTCCACAGCAAGGAGTGCACGCCTCGTGGGCAGGAGCACTGAATAATTGGGAAAAACATCATTTCCCACAGATGCTAATATACTGTTATTTTGGAAAGGCCTGATGAGCAGATGCATGCACTCGGGGGCCAGATGAGAGCCACGGAGGCCACCAGGCTCCCCTGGTGTGGCAGCTGGGACTTGGAGTCAGAGATGTATGCTCAAGTCCCAGCTCGGCTGCCCTGCTCACTTCGCAATGGGGCTGGCGCCGCGGCCTCCAGGGCCTCAGCCTCCTCTCGCTTGTAAGGCAGAGATGAGAATACCTACCCCCTGGATGAATAGAGCCCGGAGGCAGGGCCTCGAACAGATATCTGTAGACCCATGTTCACAGCAGCATCAGTGGTGAGATAGCCACGAGGTGAAAGAAGCCAGGTGCCCATCAGCAGAGGAGTGGATAAACTGAGCGTGGTCTACACGCGATGGAATATTATTCAGCCTTAAAAAGGAAGGGAATTCTGATGTGTGCTGTTGTGTCTGGATGAAGCTTGAAGACATCATGCTCTGTAAGATAAGCCAGATACAAAGGGCTGATTTCACGTATAGGATTCTACTTAGATGGGGTGTGTAGAGTGGCCAGATTTCTAGAGACAGAAAGTAGAATGCCGGTTGCCTGGGGCTGGCGGGGAGAAGGGAGTGGGGAATTCATGTTTAACGGGTACAGAGTCTTAGTCCGGGATGATGAAAATGTTCTGGAGGCGGATGGTGGTGACGGTTACATAACAGTGAATGTACTTAATGTCACTGAACTTCAAATGCCACTACACTTTAAAATGCTTAAAATGGTAAATTTTATGTTATATTTTACCACAGTTTTTTTTTTTTTTTTTAAGTGCAGAGCTGCACATTTCAGGCGCAGGCAGGTCTCCAGGTGGCAGCTGCTCACTGCTGTCCCATGGCCCGAGCCATGTGGGAGTTTGTGGCCACAGCTCTTCCGTGGCCTCCTGCATGAAGCTGCTACTGTCGGCAACTGTGGAAAACAATAGAGAGCGGAGAAGGGTGGGTGTGAAATCTGTGAACCAAAACATGCCCTCTGACTTCCTCCCGACTTCTGTGTTCTAATCCAGCAGCAAGCCTGAATCGGGCACCTGCTACGTCCTCAGCCCTAGGCTTCTGCCCTAGAACTCTCACATTTGTTCAGGTATTTATTGAGTATCTACTGAAGTCCCAGATCTCTTCTAGACACAATATATCAGGGAACGAAAGGGAAAAGAAAAAACCCTTCTCTCATGCAGTTTACGGTGATGGAGACAGACAAGAAACAAAAAATTAGTTTTTTTAAAAAAAGGAAATTGCATAGTTCAATGGAAGGTATTAAGCCTTGGAAATAACTAGAGCAGGACACAAGGGATGGAAGAAGCTAGTTGAGGAGGGGCTTGCAATCCAGTGGACAGGACAGGCCCACTGAGAGGGTGATTTTTTTGGGTAACAGCTTTATTGAGCTATAATCCACATATCATACACCCATTTAAAAATCCATGTACTGAAAACTAGTTGCATGTAGACTTGTGCACCCAGCCACTTCAATCAATCTTAGAACATTTCATCATTCCAAAAAGAAATGCTGTACCCTTGGGATCCCTGGGTGGCTCAGCGGTTTAGCGCCTGGCTTTGGCCCAGGGCCTGATCTTGGGGTCCTGGGATCAAGTCCCGCGTCGGGCTCCCGGCATGGAGCCTGCTTCTCCCTCCTCCTGTGTCTCTGCCTCTCTCTCTCTATCATAAATCAATCAATAAATAAATCTTAAATAACCCATTTAAAAAAACAAACAAACAAACAAACAAACGTTGTACCCATCAGCTGTCATTCCCCATTCCTCCCTCCCTCCAGGCCTAGGCAACCAATCTCTTTTCTGTCTGTATAGTTTGACCATTCTCAACATTTTCTATAAATGGAATCACACAATGTGTGACCCGTTGTGTCTGGCTTCTTTCATGTCACCTAATGTTTTTGAGGTTCATCCATATTGTTCCATGTATCAATGCTTCATTCCTCTTTATGGCCAAAGAGCATTCCATTGTATGGATACCCCACATTTTGTTTATCCATTTATGTGCTGGTAGACGCTGGGGTTGGTTTCACCTTTTGGCAAATGTGAATAGTGCTGCTATGAATATTCATGTACAAGTTTTTGTGTGAAGTAGGTGACTTAAGCAAAGATGTGAAGGAGATGAGGAGATTAACCACGCATAAAAATGTAGGGGTGCTAAGGTATAACCGGTGTGATGTGTGTGAGGAAGAGCCAGGAGGGCTGTGGGAGGCAGAGAATGGAAAGAGATAAGGTCTGAGAGAAACGGGCAGCCAAGTCACATGAGGCATTGGAAGCATTGTAAGGATTTGGGCTTGAGTTACATGAGAGCCACTGGAGGGTTTTGAGCAGAAAAACGGCATGACCTGACCCAGTCCATATCTATTTTACCTGAAAGTGTTCTCAGAGGTGATAAAGAAGAAGAAATAATGATAGGATGGGAGAAGGAAGGAAAAGAGTGGAGAGCCCCTCAGAGGCCAGGAATACTGAATGAACACAGGAGGGGCCACCATGCCTGGGACCCACTGGGTGCAGCAGAGCTGACGCTGGGAGAACAAGAGGCAGACTGAGTGGGAGATGGACAGGCTTCCATGTTTCTGCCCTCCCCTCATGAACATTGGTATATGCTTGTCCAGAGCACTCCTCTGAGAAGCATGTCCCTCCGACATGCTGAGGGTGGGCAGGTAACGTCACAGGCCAGGAGCTCCATGCCCTCTGTCACCTGCTCCCCCTCCAGCTCACAATAAGCTGGCTTTCACCCCAGTGACTCTACGCAAACAGCCGTTTTGATTACCAGAGATCTTCTAACTTGCCCAAATGCCTCTCCTGCCACCTGATGTCCACCATGTAGAGTCTGTCAGCGAAGTATGCAAGCCGGGCACCAGCAGCATTGACCTCAACTGGCAGCAGGTTAGAAATGCAGAATTCCAGGCCTAGCCCCAGACCCACAGAATCAGTCTGCACTGTAACAGGATGTCTGGCTTTGAGGACTGTTTTTTCTGCCCATATTTGGGAGCTTCCTCCTCCACTCTGTTAAACTAAAGAGTGAGGTCTGCTGGCCTGTACACGATTTTACCTTCTATGCCTCAGGGACTGTTAAGCAATGGGCACAATTAGGACCTCAACCTTGGGTTTTCCATCTCTCATCTCGGGCTGCTCAGGCCGGGTGCCAGGGGGGAAGAAGTCAGGCTATGGAAGGAAAAGAGACTAGAAGTGTATCCCTAAGGCAGGTCTCTTGGTCAGGATTTCTGGGTGGCAAGCAGCCTAGTTTTTCTTGCCAGAGAGAATTTATTTGAAGGATACCAGATTTTTGCAGAATTGATGGAAGTCTGAAGAGCCAGGCTTGGAAGTAGGTGGAACCTGGGCCACTCCAAGGCCAAAGAAGCAGGATAGACAAGAATGGCCTTCTGGTGGACAGAATGCTTGGGACGCAGGAATCCTGCTCTTGATGTTTTTTGTTTCAGGCTCCAGGGAGGGCTTGTAGATTGGACCTGCTAGAGGCACAGGCCTGCTGCTTAGTTAGGGATGGGCCCTGTCAGACTGTAACAGGGAGGAGTTAATGTCTCAAAAGGAAGCCTGTGTGCTGTTAGGAAGAGGGCAGAAATGATAGAAACTCGCAGAACAGCAAAGGCCCTTTCAGAGGTATCACTACTTCACACTGTTTGTGGAGCCAATCACTCTGCTGTCCTTTATTCTCTACAACCTCTGCTCTAGTCACTCTCTCTGTTACTCTTGCCAAATTGTCGTTTTTGCCTTGAGTTTCCCACACTGTTGCTGGTAACCAGCCATATCAAGATACCCTCAAAACCAGCCAATGGTTCCTCACTGCCTGCAAAAAAAAAAAAAAAAAAGAAGGCTAAATTTCCTGGTGGGCATCAAGTCCTGGCCTCACCTGACTTCCCATCCCCACTTTTCATTTTGACCCCCACCCTTGCCAAATACGCCCACGTGAGACTTGGCAGCATTTCCAGACTCTATGTTCCCAGCCCAGGCCTGTCATCTCACCATGCTGTTGCTGGAACTTGAGCCCACTGCCTTCCCACCCATCACCCATGATCTCCATGTCCTGAAGTCCTCCCCACTGTCTGCACTTCACCTGGTGAAGAGATGAGTAGGCTCATCCCCTGTGCCCCCAAATCCCATGGCCTGTGAAACCACACAAAACTCTAGGCCAGGGGGCCAAGGTTTACCTGGAAGGCTTAGTTACTCTGGAGCTATTTGTAAGTGGATTTTACCCTTACCTGGTCTGGGCTCTGGGCTCAGGGACACTGACTTGAGCCTCTTACCCTGGCCCCACCAGGCGTGGGATCTGCCTGTGGTCCTGTAGCACTGTGGTCCTGTGTGCCTCTGTTCATCCACCCCTCTGACTCAGCAGCCTAGTGTTCCTGCCTCCTCCCATGATCTCAGGTAGCAACTCTCTGCCTTGGCCTAAATGAAATTGTCACTATGAATGGCATCTGTCCAGGCCACTTGGCTTCTCCTTGGTTCCTCCTTCCTGAAGCCTTCCTTGGCTTCTCCAGAGCTGAGTGATCTCTCTCTAAAAAAGCTCATCCTTCTATTTACATTTTTTCAGAGTACCTTCATATATGTCAGGTTACAGCCAGCCTTGAAGAAGGTGGAGCAGGCCAGGTTTTGGCCTCCTGTGGGAAATGAAATAACCCAACTTCAGAGAGGTGCAGTGGTTTCCCAAGGCTGCACAGCTATTAGTAGCAGAGACAGGACTAGTACCTGGATCTGACTTTCATGTCTCAGCTGTCTGGAATTCCGCAGCCCACCATTACTTAGCAATATTCATCTCTTTTGGAACAGTCTTTTGTCAGATCCCTACCGAGAGCCCTAGATTCCAACGCTAGCCCTTCAGCTTGATGATGGCTAGAGATCAAAGCCAAAGGTGGCCTTTGCAGAGGTGACAGTTCTCTTTCCCTGCCCCTTCCACTGTAAGAAACCAAGCTTGGCAAATCTGGCCTTCCCTGTAGCACTGTTTGGGGTACCAAATTTCTGCAGGTTCTCCTTCAGAGCATCTGAGATGCTGTCTTAGCTCAAGCTGCTGTAACAGAATGCCATAGACTAGGTGTCTTAGAAACTACAACCATTTACCTCAGATCTGGAGGCTGGGAAGTCCAAGATCAAGATGTTGGCAGATTTGGCTCCTGGTCTCGAGGGTTCATTTCCTGGCTTCCAGATGACCGGCTGCCTGGCTTCGTCCCCACTCCTTGGCGAGACAATGCTCTGGCCTCACTACTTCTTTGGACACTAATCCCATGATAGGGTCTCCATCCTGAAGACTTCATCTCAACCTAATTACCCCCCAAGGGCCCACCTTCCAATGCTGCCACATTGAGGAGTAGGGCTTCCACATATGAATTTGAGGGGTGGTGGTGGTGGGCGGGAGCCACATCTGGTTCATAACAGAAGATGTTAGCTTTTGCATCCACAGGCTGCAGAACATAGAGCCTGGGCCTCTCTGTGCAAAAATGATTTGATCGAGTAAACGTTGCCATCCAAAGGGAGAGAAAATAAAGCCTGGGGTACTGAGCACTAACACTGCCGGCTGGATACTGGAATTGGAGCGCCCTGCCTTTAAGAAGGACTGGGGGGGTGGGGCACATCTCAAGGGTGGAGCTCACCAGATTCTCCAAGTGCTTGGAATTTGCTAGGACCTGCCTTTGTGGAGGCCAGGCCTTGCGGGCCTGGTTTGCAGTTCTGGCACCACTCAGGGCCCTGCTCCCCTCCTTCCCTGCTGCCACACGACTCAGCTCTGGCACCGGTGAGCACCCTCCCACCCACACACCCACGAGCTCGCTGTCTTTCCAAGCCCAGTGCTGATGGCTGTCATTTCCAAAGTCTTCTCCACGCCTTTCTTCTTCCTTTCAAATTCAGACCCTTCTCTTCTCCGCTGAAGAGCAGCTTCTCCACAGTTCCCTTGCCCGGCTGTTGGCCTGTGCTGTGGCCTGTGCTGGGGGCAGCAGCTGAAAGGAAGGAAGGAAGCTGGCTTCCCAGGCTGACCTTCCTGGGTGAAGATGAGCCACCTGGGCTGCTGGCTGAGCGTGTGCTGTGAATCCTGTGTGTGTGTGTGTGTGTGTGTGTGTGTGTGTGTGTGCATGTGCGCGCACGTGCATGTGTCCTGAGCTGGAATGGATGACTCTAGAAGGGGCAAGGTGTCCAGGCCTTCAGTATTCCAGGTGCACATAGTAGGTGCTCAGCAATATTGGCAAGGATTAAGAAAGGCAGATGAATGGAGGGAGGACTGGTCTGAGAAGCAGAGACACTTGGGTTCTCTCTCCAGCTCCCCCCGTAGCTTTTCCCACAACCCCCTTGGCCTCCCTGGACACCAGTCATTCTGTAAAAGCAGCAAACCCATCCTCACCTCCTCCAGCTACCGTAAGACCAATTAGATGCTTGACCAAGAAATTTTCTTCCAAGGACCAGAGGGCCGAATCAGGTGGGTGGAAGTTACAAGGAGGCAGATTTCAGATCAAAATCAGGAAGACAGCGATCCCTGGGTGGCTCAGCGGTTTGGCGCCTGCCTTTGGCCCAGGGCACGATCCTAGGTCCCGGGATCGAGTCCCATGTCAGGCTCCTGGCATGGAGCCTGCTTCTCCTTCCTCCTGTGTCTCTGATTCTCTCTCTCTCAATAATAATAATAATAATAATTAATAATAATAATAAATCTTTAAAAAGAAAATCAGGAAGACACTTCCATTTACCAAAGTCCCTCCTACTGATTCCTCCTAATCATCCAAAGAGCCTTCTGCTCTGGGAACTCGTCAAGCCCAACAGGCTGGTAATCTGACAGCAGTCCTGCACGAGTGGGACTGTCCTCTTTGAAATGTGACAGTCTGCGTTTTGGTGGCTGTGGACCAGGGCTTCGAGAAGAATCTATGTGAGGCTGTAAGTGTGTTGGTTTTTCCCCGAAGCCCAGCCAAGTCCTCTCGGGGGATGGGAGTTGGGCACTGAGAGCCAAGGGAGAGCAAATGGACAGCCTGGGCTCTGGTGTCCCAGGAACACCTTGCCATTTTCAGGGGCACCTCGAGTCAAGAGCTTCTGCGTCAACAAAGCACATTGACGGAGGGCACCGGCCCTTTCTGCCTTGGGTGGCCAGGAGGGTGGGGGGTGGCGGGCCACCCCCCGTGGTGCAGGAGCTCTGGCAGGGGGGGCGTGCTGCCCCCACACATGCAACCTGACCCAGCCCACCTTGCCTTCCCAGTGGTTCTCAGACAATGATCAAAGGAAACATTTTCTCTCACCTTTTTCACAGCCTACCTTTCAGCTCCAAGGCTGAGAATGAGTCTCCCCCCTCCATGGTGATCACCCTTTGGTAGGATTCTGCTCCATTCCCTAAGAATTGACCAAGGGCAGAAGGGCACTTTTGGCTGCAGGCTCCTGCCACCAGCGCTCCCGCAGGAACCCCCTATTCTCCTCCCCACCACGCAGGGGAGATTGTCTCTGTTAACGTGGGGAGGACAAAATATTTTTGGTAGGAAAGAAGCCAGAAGAGATGAAGGGGATATCAGACATCCCTTTTCTTAGCTGGTCCTGTAGACTGGTGGAGAGCCCAGGTCAGGAAGGCAGAGCACAGGTAGAACTGCTTTGGGCTCA